TTTATGATTATTAGGGTGTGAAAGAGGTTTTAAGCTGGTTCCCTCCCTAGATGTACCGTCTTTTGGTGGCGATGTTTCCAACTATAACTATACTTTTTTTCTTCTTTTTTCAATGTAAAACTTTAAGGAATATTATTAATTAATTTATACATTTTGAGATTGTATACAGGTTAGTAACTGAATTTGTCAAAAATTTAATCTGAAACTCAATGTTTGGCAAGCAAGGTTTTATGCTGGTTCCCTCCCTAGATGTACCGTCTTTTGGTGGCGATGTTTCCAACTATAACTATACTTTTTTTCTTCTTTTTTCAATGTAAAACTTTAAGGAATATTATTAATTAATTTATACATTTTGAGATTGTATACAGGTTAGTAACTGAATTTGTCAAAAATTTAATCTGAAACTCAATGTTTGGCAAGCAAGGTTTTATGCTGGTTCCCTCCCTAGATGTACCGTCTTTTGGTGGCGATGTTTCCAACTATAACTATGCTGTTTTTCTTTTTTTTTCAATGTAAAACTTTAAGGAATATTATTAAATAATTTATACATTTTTAGTTTGGCAAGCAAGGTTTTATGCTGGTTTCTTCCCTAGAAGGATCGTCCGTTGGGCGCGATGTTTTTAACTATCACTGTTTCGATTTTTTCCTCTAATATGAACCGTTAAGAACTATAGTTGAATATTTTATTCAATTTCAGATTGTATAAGATGAAAATATTAGGACTCATATTTGCCACGCTAGAGGTTCTGAGTTCGAATACCTGCAGAGCCACTGTGCTTTTTAATTAATATTGGTATGAAAAATGCATTGTAAAATGCACCCCTCGTGTGCGACCCAACGTGCAGTTGAACGATGTTCTCCTGTGTGATAGGAATTACTTTACTTTCATGTAATTCAGGAATTGAATTATTTAAGCTTTTTGTCCGAAGCCCACGGTGAGAAAAGGGACGCTATGTCCTTGTTTCTGTTGAGACGAAGGAACGAAAAATTTGTTTATTACCGCTTTCTTCGCGATGTCCGCAATCGACCTTGCACCAATAGTCCAGTGTCCTTTTACTTGTAATTAAAGACTAAATGGGAATAGGACAATTATTTATGACATTTGGCCCACTGGATTATCCCAATTTGCATATGTTTCGAAATCAAAACTTGGTCAGTTGCTCATCTCGTCGTCCAGAAAGGGCCCGAGGTGCCGATATTTAAGACAAATTGGCCATAATTGGCAGAGAAAGGCTATTGTATATTGTCGATGTATTATGTAAAAACAAAAGCACAGCAATTTTGAACAAAATTACAATTTTGAAAGTGATTAACAACAGATCAGTTTATTTTACAACCCTTGCTATTTATTGTTTACAACCCAATAACTGCTAGAAAGCATTTTATATAAGAAAAAAATAAGTTGACAAAACAGACAAAAAGTATAAATTATCAAGGATCAAATTATCCAAAATAAGAAAACGAGTTTGTGAAGATTTAAGATATAAAAGTATAATTATAGGTTAAGTGGTAATAAAAAGAATATATAACTGACAGTTAGAGTACGAAAATCAAAAAGCTATATAATACTGATAAAACCTTTTTAAACTTAAAAAACAAGGCGTATTAAAAAAACTAAGTTGTGTTTAAATAAAAATAATAAATGAAATCCGGTTCGTCTTCAACCGGGCGAGAATTTTTCGTTTTTTCCGGCCACGCAACGATCCGCCGCCCTAATCCGGCTAATAGGCCTGCTACAATCCGTGTCTCCGAAGCTGAATTTTTTTGCTGTGTTAATCTCCTGGAAGCGCTCGGCCTAAAGGAAAAAGGAAAAGTGCCGTGGAACGGGTTCGTTGTCTCTAGACAGATCGGTAACCCCGATCTCCCGGCAGGCCATGACGTGTATTAGAAATGAAAAATCCAAACACAAACACAAGAAAAATCACATACATACACACATCTCAGATCAAAGGACAAATCGCCAGCATGACAGTTTTTACGCGGCATGGGTGAACAGGGTTCACTTTCATTCCACTACAATCAATCATCAGTTACACAAACTCAAAAAATCAGATAAACAAAAAGCGAAAAATGGCGGACCCATGATTCTTCCAATACTTATATGCATTTATGATTTAAAACTCAATACCATTTAAACTAGCGTTGTTTTGTTTGCTGTCTTCTTATTTTTGCTGCCCCTTAGATATAAGTAATTCTATTGAAATAGACCATTTTCTTTCTTGTAATAATAACAATAAAGAGAAGAAGAAAAAGAACGAAAGAACGAAAATTATATTTTTTTACTGGAAATGTCTAAACAACCAAATAATATATATAATCGATTAGGTTTCGTGGTCCGTTTGACCAAATAAATTCTTTTCAATTAATTAACCTTTAAGTAAGGTATTAGTTGAGATAAAAAAGTCAGTGTCACGTGCGGGATTCGAACCCACTACCTTCGGCTAAATACGCCGCTACTCTACCACTTGATCCACTCGGAAACTAACTTCCCATGTTTTCATTTCAACCAAAATCTAGTTATTCTTTCAGGATTCAGGGAAAGGAAAGCCAAATTGTTTGAAGAATTAGACTATGTAGAAATATTTGATGTGGGGATTGTAATGACTGTTTTATATGTTATATGTTTTGTGTGATGTGATGATGATGACTTCGGAAGTCACGATAGTTCAAGTGGTAGAACAGCGGCGTATTTAGCCGAAGTTCGTGGGTTCGAATTCCGCTCGTGACACTGACTTTTTATCTCAACCAATACCTTACTTAAAGATTAATTAATTGAAATATAAATAATGTATAAGCGTACATTTTTTCTGGATCCTCATTTGTAAATACTGATTTATTTTCAATTTTGGCTTATAGAATTTTTTTTAGTAAATAAAAGTATTATTTAAAATATGTATTGTAGTTTGATGATAAATCAAAATGCGATTATTGTCGGATCTATTACGTGAAAGGACAAAACATTTTGATCGGGCTAATTTATTTCCAGTTGATTTATTTGGTGGCTAATTGTTATATTAAGCTTTTTAATTCTTTACAAGATGGATTTTTTTCTATAAATCCATAAAAAACTCTCATAAAATGCATGTCCAACTTAGCTAAAATAATAATAATAATAAATTTAAGTAAAAATTGATACTTAAGAGACGTAACATTGTTTATCCACCCGTTCAGATCTTCCGGAGACTTTAACGACGCCGTCTTTCTTATATACCTCGGGGAAAATATTGATTTAAACAGAAAAACTATGTATAAGTCGGCTTATTACATTGCCTTATTGTATGTTGAGCAAATGTGGAAGGTATTTTTTGTAATCCTCTTTGACACCCTTTGGGTTTGGAAAAATACAATCTTTTAAAAAAATTTCTCGTAACATTTGACGCCACCAATTTTTTTTAGGCATTACTGTTGTGAAATATGTGTAGAAATATTATTGGTGTATCTTGCAGCATATGCTTATTTATTATAGTGGGTGAAAAATGGCTTCTGATAAATAAAAATCTTAACAAAAAAACCAGCGAAAATCGCGTCTTCATAAATCAGCACCGATCCTCTCTGGGTTATATAACTATATAATCTTCTGACAAATTTACTCTTACCTTTGTCAGATTATTTTTATTATTTTTCTTTGACAGGTTATGTATAAATCAAAAATTTGACATTTAGTCAAATTTACATGGTCAGACTATAAAAGTCCGGACTTAACGACTGACAGTGAGGGTATGAAGGTTAATTAAAATTAACAGAATGAAATGCAAGGTGCTTAAGAATCCAGTTCTGGTTATGGCCTAATATCAGCAATTTCAGATATTTTTCTCCTAAAATTAAGGCCAAAATATAAAGTGTGACCGTGCAAAACATGTATTTACATTTTATGATTTGAAAAAGCTTTTTAATTCATACATAGATTTGTTTTAGGGGGGAGGGATTTTTAAAAAAATTTCCAATTTTTAGGGAGGTAAAGTTTGCTTATGCTACAAAAATTATTATTTTATATTTATTGCTGGAAAAAATCTTCATGGCATTTCTAATTTTAAGTTATGAAATATTATTATTATTATTATACAGGGTGTCTTTTTTTAACGTGCGCCAGCAGGTATTCCCTTTTTTTTGGACAGTTAGAAATAGTGACCAATAATAACCCCCCTTACATTTTGGCACTGATTCCAAAACCGTCGTCAATTTTTTTTCGACGTCAATTAACGTCGGTGTTTTTTTAAAAATTTCAAATAGAAACCACAAATTTTAAAATTGTTTCCTGAAACTAGATTTTTTCTAAGAGGAATGTGTACCACAACTTTGGAACACCTCCAAAATTCTCCGATCTGGAATTTTTTGAACAATGCGAAAAATGCAGGTGTTTATCGAGAGGATTATTTTGGTAATAAGAATATTTTATTTTAATAAAGGTTCAAAAACTTGATTCAAAATTTGATCAAGACTGAGAACTTTCACTAATTTTTATTATGAGAAATGGTTACGTTCAAAGACTTTTTTAAATTATTATGTTTACCTACCAACTTCACGGGACAAAAAAGAAATGGAAACTTGCGTTTAATAAACATTATTTATGAAATTTCCTTAATTTTTTGGTATTTTAACATAATCCCGGAGCCATCAATTTCGGAGGTGTTCCAACGCTGTGCTAGTCATTCTTTTAAGAAAAAATTTAAAAACTTGGGGTTCTCATTTGAAATAAAAAAGCGTCATCGACGTGCAAAAAATTGACGACAGTTTTAAAATCTGCACAAAAATGTAAGGGGTTACCCATCAAATACACCTTTTGTGTCTATTCAAAAATATAGGGGAAATCTGCTGGCGCATGTTGAAAAAGACCTCGTGTATAAACTCAAAATGCATTTTCCCAAATTAAAATTTTACAATTGCCTAATTTGCAAAATATTTTAGTAAAAGCACGCATTATAAAAGAAACATTATAATAAATGAAAAAAGTTCATTAAAACCTAAACTACCTTATCAAGTGTAATTTTATAATTACTTACAGAAAAAATTAACAATTTCATATCTCTTTCCTTTTGAATGATAGTTGTTGGCACTTGGATGTTAAACTGTTGGGAAATGGAGGAGGCCTGGTGCGTTTTATAGGTCGGCTCCCACTCCAGATGGCTCCCGCCCTGTCGAAGATCCTCTTAAGAATAGATTTGTATCGATGGGCATGTAACGTATGTAGTTTGTTTCTTTATATCACTATCTGTGATGGATAATTTCTACCTTTCGCCCTGTAGTATGATCACTTACTTTTCAAAATCATCCCTTCTTTCTCATTCATTGCTTTTGCTCCTTATTCCAATTATCATACTCTTTTCCTCGAACATTCTAGCTAGCTGTATTTCTCCTTCTCCCTCATTCACTCTCTGTCACTCTCCCCTCTTTTCTCTTTTTTCTCTCTCTCCATCTCTTTATTTCTCCCTCCCACCCCTTATTGAATTATATATTAACCTCTTTTCTCTCTTTCTACCTTTCTCTTTCTCACTCTGTCCATCTTTCTTTTTCTCCTGCTTTCCCTATTGGTTTCTATATTTACCTATCACTTTATACATTCACATAGCTCTATAAGCTTTCTTTCTCTCTCTCTCTCTCTCGTTCTCTTTTTATCTCTATTTCTCTCTATCTTTCTCCCACTCTCTTTTCTTATTATTTTCTTTTCTACCTTTATCTCTAATTAGCTATTTCTCTATATGTATCTCTTTCTTTCTCATTCTCATTTTTAAAACAAAACCATATTCCTTCATTCATTCATATTTTCTAGCACTCGCTCTCATTCTTTCTCTCCATCTTTCTTTCTCCCTCTCTCTCTCGTTTTCTTTCTGTCAGGCGATGTTTCTCTTTTTATATCTGTGTCTGTATTTCTTCCTCTCTCTCTTCTTATGTCTTTATTTACCTTTCTGACTTTATCTCTAATTATCTACTTCTCTATATGTATTCATTCCCTCTTTCTCTCTCACTCTCTCTCTCTTTATTTCTTCCTTTTTTCCCCTCCCTCTCTCTGTCTCTTTCTCCCTCCCACTCTCTTTCCCCCCCTCTCTCTCGTTCTCTTTGTATCTCTGTTTCTCTCTATCTTTCTCCCCTCTCTTTTCTTATTATTTACTTTTCTACCTTTAACTCTAATTATCTATTTCTCTATATGAATCTCATTCTTTCTTTATCATTCTCTCTTGCATGATTTTTAAAACAAAACTATATTCCTTCATTCATTCCTATTTTCTAGCACTCGCTCTCATTCTTTCTCTTCATCTCTCTCTCTCTCTCTCACTGTCTCTCATTCTTTCTTCCTTTCTTTCCCTCCCTCTCTCTCTATCTCTTCTCCCACCCCTCTCTTTTTCTTTCTCTCCCTCTCTCCCTCTCTTTCTTTCTTTCCCTCTCTCTCTCTGTCTCTTTCTCTCTCTCTCTCTCTCTCTCTCTCTCTCTTTCTCTCTCTCTCCTTCTCTCTCTCTCTCCATCTACTACAGGTCTCTTCCTCTCTACATCCATCATTTTTGTATAATTACTGTCTGTTTTTTTATTTCTCATTTTCTCTTTCTCTCTCTATCTATCTATCTCAATCTCTATCTAGCCATTCTAATATCTCTGTCTTCACCACTTCTCACTCTCTCGTTATTTGTAAGAGAGGTCGTTCATGGATTAATTTGCGAGATTTTGTTCAATAAACCAATATTCATTTATTATATTTTTCACACTCAATTTCCTTCTTTCTTGTGTGTTGTTCCTCTCTCTTCTTCCATCGCATTTCAAATGTCAAAGAGGAACCTGTTATGAAACAATGATACATCAGACTATTAACCACTTTCCACTTGTTCCTTGAGAAAACTCATCTGACCCACTGTACTTTCGTACGTTGCAGTTTGGAGGCACAATAAGGTTCTGTTCCGAAGATTAAAAAACTGTTCTACTTTCGGTAATTCTGTCGGAGTAGACAGAGAGTCGGAAGTCGTAGCCATCGTTCAGCATCATTGGTCTGACACCATTTGAGGTTTTAGACAAGATTTAATACAATCACTTCATCTTAATGCTTAGGCGTGTTTTTATCGCTATGATGAAATAACAAACTGACCGCAAGAGAGTCACGGAATTAGTTGAAAATTAATAGGAAATCACGGATATGAATTTTATCCAACTTTTCGAGTTTGGGTCAAAAAAGATGACGAGCAGTCTTATTTAATAATCTCATAGTTTTTAGTTAGGTTTCAGTTAAATGGCGCCATGCAGGGTGAGGCAATTCAACAAAAACTAGTGTTTTTGTTAGATTGATTTATTTCCGTTGGCCCTTCTGTGGCGTAGGAAGCCATACTATCAACGAGTACCACGGACAGAAGAGCAAAAAGAAAATGAATTCACTCATTGAACACAAATCAACACAAATCCAAGAATCTAACAAATTTCGGAAGGAAAGAAGTTACAGAATGTGTCAAAGGAGTTATGTAAGTATAAAGTTCAGAAACAACTTACATTGAACAAGCTCAAAGTCCAATGTCTCCATAGAGCAAAACCCAAAGCTCAAGCTAACAATCATGATTCTGACCGGAATTATGATTTCTCCCAAGCCAAACATCCTGCAGAAATTCAAACAAAGAGGAAAAAACAGGGCAACTTTTAGATTTTTAAGAAGAATGGCTTTAGGTGATGAAAAATGCTTATTCTCATAAATCTCAGCAACCTTCAGCAGTCTGTAAACCAAGTTCACATTTCCTACCAGAATTTTGCTTGTTTGAATTTTGAAAACGTTTTGGCGCTTTCAGCTTGTTCCATGTTCCAGGGCTTTTGTCTTTTTGCTAACAGCATGAACATTTGAAAGCTAAATACTTTGATCTGGTGCAACGAGTCCGTTTGCAGAATCATGGGAAGTATTCTCTTGGACGAGTCTTGTAGAAGAATCGAACTTCTGATTGATATACATTCCTTTCGTATTTCGTTCTGCCTTTCTAAAAAAAATTATCCTCTTGCTAAAAGAGACCAATCGACAACCAGTTGCATTGTACGGAAGAAAAAATCAGTCAGTCAATAATTAATAGAACTAAACTGTAATTGATTGATAGATCTAAGTTTTATTAGTGTTTATTGTTTAAATGAATTAAATTTGATATATATGATCGTAATTTTTCCAGACTATCCTGGGCTTTTTCAAAACTTAAATCAATCAAGCCTAGATTTCGTTTTCACCAGATTCCGGACTTTCGATCTCACAATCTGGAGATCTCCATTTTGTCCAGAAACTTTAGTTTTTAAATCGATTTTGGGCTTGAGCAGTTCGTTTTGTCAAAATTTTGATAAGCGTGATGGTGGAGGAATCGTTGCACAATGTTTTCCTCTTCTCGGATCCGCCTGCTGTTTGTTCACAACGGAAGTAACGAAATTTCAAGCAGAACCCTTCTTCCTTTCAAAATTTCTGCTCCAGATCAAACCTTATTAATTAGGCTAAATATAATGTTTTCTCCATTCCACAATCTTTTATTTTTAATTATATGTGAAATGAATTCTTCTCGTATCTTCCGAGGAGGTGGTACTAAGTATTCTTTTTACTGTGTTGTCTTTTGGTTTGACAGAACGTAGAAAATGACGGCATTTTATATTTGTTCAGTTATGTTTAATGAGCTTTATAGTCGCACTAAAGCCATAATATAAATTAATTTCAAACATATTTGTTTTTTTGAATTAAAAAAAATCTAATTAGAAGAATTGAAAGCGGAACGTTATGAAACTATATGTTAGAAGGTCAATGATTTTCCTATTCTTGCTTGATCAAAAGTAATTTCACTTATTTAAACAAAGATGGTGTGTCTTTTAACAAATGTGGTTTCGTTTGAAAATATCAACATCTGTTTGATTCTAGTTATTTTCTTTTAAGATTTTTCCTTAAGAGATACTGGAAAGATGGAAAATCGGAAAGCATCGAAATTGTTCAGCCTGTTTTCGTTTCAGGTTTTTTCCGTATTTAGTCACATTTAACAAAAAAAAAATGTTTTCTTTTTCTTTTTAGAAACGTTCATCAGAGACGACGGATATCAGTGACAACGAGGAAGTGGAAGAGACCGTACTGGCCGCTCATTCGAAAGAAGAAGGCGACGGGAACGACACAGACATCATCCTGAAGACGCAGGGCAACATCGGCTGTTGGCAAACCATCATCGTTATCATCATGTCCCTCTTCAACATGCCGGCCGTTTTTCAACTCGCCTCGCCCGAAGTGACCGCCGCAGATCACATCTCCTGCTGCGCCAGGCCGACCCACCTGCGCAACATATCCGTCAGCGAATGGAGGGAAATCAGCGGCACTTGGAAGCTCAACTTGGTACTGAATTTTCTTCCGTTTTAAAAAGATTTTTTCATTTTTTTTAAATTTTCTTAGAGAGGAGAGAAAGTCTTCGATCCATGCTTCAAGAAAGATCTGCCGGAAAATGCGACCTACGAGGAACTCAAGAATTACAAAACTGACGCCAAGACCACCTGTACCACTTGGGACTACGACAGAGGAAAGACTTCGATAATTTCAGAGGTTTAACATCAATTACATAATTCCATCATGCAATTTTGATTCACCTTATGATTAGTTTAATCTGGCCTGTACGTCAATGCCGATTAACAACTTGGCAGAGAGTGTTTTTTTGATCGGTGCAGCCATCGGGGACATAATAAACGGCGTCCTTGCTGACAGGTAAGATTGATTTTTTTAATAAACAACACATCTCTGATGACACAGTTTTTAGATTCGGAAGGAGGAGGGTATTGATGGTTTCCCAGGGATTCGTGGTCCTTACTGGGTTCATCATCGCCAACTCTTCATCGTACAGGATGTACCTTCTCTGCCGGGTCGTTCTCGGCTACCTCTGCAGCGCCATCACGATGTGCAGTTTCATTATATGTAGGTGCATTTGGCAGGTTGCCCGATTTTCTATTTTAAAAAATTCCGTAGTTTACTCACGTTATAGGTAACATTGATTATTGCTGATCATCCCTCCCGAGTCCTTTGTTCACGCTGCACGTTTAGATTTAACGGTTAACTCTTGTCCACGACCTTTATGTAAATTTCTATGGGAAACTGTGACACACAAAGGGAAATAAAATAGTATGCTCAGCTGACGATTTGAAAAATAAAAATTCCACTGTTTTTGTTTGATTTAGTCATTTTCCCTGGACAGAAAGACTAAACGAACAGCCCTTACTTCTATGATAGTCGGTAACAGATAATTCATTAGTTTAGAAATGAAAAGAATATATTTTTTAAAAATGACAAAGTAATTGAAAATACAGTCTGATAGAGTTTGCTAATTCACTGCCATTTTTTCATAAAATGATTTTTTTTTTGAAAACCGCGCTTTATCTATAAGGAGAACTATAAAAGATGAATTGTAGTAACTGCCTGAAATGCAGCTGTCTGCTGCTTACTTTGATAGCTTATCGTCATTTTCCTGGTGCCACTGGTGACATTTTCCTTTGCTCCCAATGCGACCTATGATATCTACAGGAAAATTGACCCTTCTTTATCTCCATAGCTCAGAAAGTGTAAGGCTGTTAAACCCTTTTCTTGGTTGCCCTTTGCTTATTTCTCTAGATGTTAACCTCGCCTTTCCCAAGAAGTTGTACGGTTTATGAACTAACGCTTTATTGTCGCATAAGACATGTTGCGATGTCTTTATTGTTTCAAGGCAGAGTTGGCAAGTTTCTGTCTCAGCCTTTCCTATGTTTGTAAGGTGGTAATTAAATGGTCGATGGCAAGATAAACCTTATGATTTTTTACAAAATTTTGTCTTCTGAGAGGATAGATTTTTGTATTCTTGGTTGAAAAGTTGTGAAACTTCTTTTATTTATTATTATTTCAAAACCCGTCATCAATTCTGTTTCTTTTCACTAGTTTTCGTGGTCTGCTTGATCAATTAAGATCTTTCAATTAATTAACGTTTTTAGTTGAGATAAAAAGTCAGTGTCATGAGCAGGATTCGAACCCACGATCTTCGGCTAGATACGCTGTTGCTCTACCGATCCACTCGGACTCTTCCCATCTCAACCCCACGTTTTGAATTTTCCCTCCATTTTTACCATTTTTCAAATGTCGTGTAAATTATTTTATCTGTTCAAATCTGTTTCCTTTTTTATTAGTTTAACAGCTTGTTCATTGCCTTCAAACCCCTCATATCCTGGCAGCTAAATCGGAGTTACTTAATTTCAGTTTTTCAGCAGTTCGAAGTGTTTCCTGAGCAGCTTTGAGTTGAAGATGAAACTATAAGGCCTTGAATATTTGAAAATCTGTGCAACTTTTATTCCATTTTTAAGTATTTCTTACACAGAATTCGTATAATCTCATGAACTTCATCAGAAATCAATTATATGATGGTGAACTTGGAAAATTAAGTGTGGCTTAGAGAGATTTTGATAGGTCAAAATTTTGGCCTTTGGCTCCTGCCCACTTCCTATATTCTACATTAGATCCATCTTTATATGATAATAAGGCCCTTGGGTTTTTATTCTTCCAAACATCTCTTGTTATTTTTATCTGAAAAAGGTCTGTCAGAATTTTATTTTATTTTAATTTTGCCAGACATTGACCATTTCATTTATTTTTTATCCTTTTTTAGAAATTTATTGTGCCTTTCCCTTCAAGGTCAGGCTTTATTTTACTTTGCTATAAGAGTCTGTTCTGGTGCTGAAGTGTGGCACGAATTAAATGGATTTTGTGTCTTCTTTTCCAATGTTCCATAAGAGAGTTCCATAAGTCTATTTAAGTCTAACCGTTGTTACATACAGCTTGTAGACTATTTTTGGATTTATATCCCATGTTTTAATACAAAACCTTTGACCAACACTTGTTATGGTCTTCATTTATTCTATATGTCTCTTCAAGGTGAGATTTCCATCTAGTATTATGTCCAAATACTTTGTTCCCTTGGAGAAAGCTATATTTTAATTTTTTAAAGAGGGTGCTTATTGGCATGCCTGTTGCCTTCTTACTGTGTGTCCTTCAACACACGAGAAGGAATGCTATTGACGCCTTGTTAATAAGTCTGTTATCTAGAAGTGGCAGGTTGTCAGCGAATATGCCAATCGGCTGTTAGTCATAATACTTGCTCCTGCGCTTTGAAGTACATTTTCTATTCTAGAGTATTTGCCCCCTCCAGCTGTTGCAGGAACAATTCTACATCCTCCGAGCAAAACTAGATGTCATATTTTGACAAAATGAGATAACTGATGTGATATTCCTGTGTTCTGAGTGTATAATTCAAAAAGTCAAAAAGGGGAAAGGCCAAAAATGTTAATTTAAAAATTTAATTTGTAATAAAGGTCTAAAATTTAAAATTGCAATCCTGAAAACTTGTGTTTTTGCACTTATCCAGTTTTGCCATGAGGATGTAGAATTTCAGTCTAGACTAAATTTTTGCATGACACTCTTTCAGAATGGAACACCATCTTTTTCTTTACTGCCATCGGTAAAAATTGACCAAAAGGCTGTTGATCGTCAATGTTATTTGCTGGAAAATTAATTGGGTGCTGTAATTTCTTTTGCCACTTACTGGTTTCTCAAACATTAATCCTTTACCATCAATATCTTTGAAACTACTGACAAGAACCAGGCACACAACACGACGCTGAACAACATCCTCTTGACAGGTGAGGCTCATTTCTAAATGAGTTTAGATTGAGGTTGGCGATTTTGTTATTCCTTTAGTAGAAAAGTAGTTTCTCAATAGTGAGATTACCGGATATTTTTTCTTTCTTAGGACATCCATAATGCTAGGTCCAAGGCCCATCTAGAAAGTGTTCTCTCTCTTTCCTTTCTCTTTGTGTGTGTGTGTGTGTGTGTGTGTGTGTGTGTGTGTGTGTGTGTGTGTGTGTGTGTGTGTTTGTGTGTTGTGTATTGTGCATGTTCCATAAATAATAATGAGTCATATAATATAAACTTGTAAAAGAAGTAACATAGTTAATAAAACGACAACTTTAAATAGTCAAAGCACAGTGTATTGTGGAATGACGATGTCATCAAAAATGGCTTAATCACATTGCCGTTACAGGCCTTGAGATTGTTGGAGGCAGATGGCGTGGAATTATGTCAACAGCATATACATACTCGTACAGTTTTGGGTATATAACGCTTCATCTCTTCTCCGAGATATTCCCCAACTGGGTCCATCTCCAATACTCGATCACCCTAATTGCTATTTTCCTCCTTTCAATTTGGTGGTAAGTCGCGCTGTTGTGTCTGTTTTTGGTACGTTCTGACCCGAGTTAAGGCTGGTTCCAGAATCGCCCAGATGGCTGCTGACAACGAAGAACCTGCCTGAGCTGATGATTTTCCTCGAGATGGCATCCTCTTTCAACCGGCTCCCTCTGCTCTCTGGTATCCCAAGGCAGATTAAAAATGTAAAGACTTAAAAGACAAGATTTTGCTTAAAAATGAAAGCGTAATTTTTTTTATTTATTTTTTATTTAGAGTAAACCAATGATGACCAAAAATACAGAAAAGGTCACATTGCCAATGCTGTTCCAGACAAAGATAATTAGATGGCTGTCTATCGTATGCCCTTTTCCGTCATTCTTCTACTCAGTGACGTACAATGGTCTTGCCTTGAATAGTGCATTTTATTCGACAAGTCTATTTTACTCTGGTACTAAAAGAATAAAAATAAAACAATAATGATTAAAATAAAACAAATTATATCAAAAATTAAAGGGCTATCTGAGTTTTGTGCAGTCACCTTTGTCCTTATGCTGAATGTCGACAATGATTTAACACTAGCATCAATATCTATAAGTCTTTCTGGAATCTGCTGCCTGATTGGTTCTGGTTTAGCTACTGCTGCTTATGCCCGTATGCTGTATTAAAAAAAAATTATAATTAAAATGTATCTTGGATAATTTTTTTTTTCTAGCAACATATGCTTTTCTCTTTGACATTGTGATTCTATTTGCGAGGTTCTTCAGTGGTATAATGAACACCACATTTCTAACGACCATCTGTTGCAAGTACCCGACTGTCATCAGAGGTGTGGGTTTCGGATGGTGCCATTGTTTTGCCAACATCGCCTTGTGCGTCGCGGCAAACATAGTTTCTTTGGTAACTGTAATTAATTGACTATCGGTCCTATCGTAATTTTTAAGAGTGAGGTTTATGTCCCATTGCCTCTGGTCCTGACTGGATTTAGCGCCTTGTGCAGCAGCCTGGCAATGTTTTTCCTTCCGCCGTTGTTGAAGAACACGATGAGGGACCTAATCGAGGAAATAGAAGAAGTCGACGAGGAACACGAACAATCGAAACAGGCCCCATGGCCATCAAAGACCGGAAGGCAAATATCTTTATTTTCAATTTTCAGCATCAATTCAAATAAATCGGACGAAGTGGTTGATAAACCCAAGCCGTACCTTGTGTCCAACTTGCCTCAGGATGCCCAAGAACAAAATGTCACTGAAACTAAAGGAAAAGGAGTGATAAAAATCCCCCAGGCTAAACCAATGACGACAGCAAACAAGAAACAACGTAAATTTATTTTACTAAGTGTATTAATTAAGTATATTGCATATTTTTTAAATTCCAGAACCACTTAAGCCCGTAACAAACGCGCATCAAGAGCCGCTACTTTTCCCAGATATGGATGTCCACCAGTCGATAAAAACTGGTAACAACTTTTAAACCATCACAACTGATTGTTTCAATAACATTTTTTTTAGTCCAAAGTAATCAAGATAAATCAAAAAAGGAATCAAAGGGTAACAACAAAATGACAGAGGATGAAGAGATGCTAGATGATGTTCCATATCATTGTACAATACTGTAATGTAAACCTGTTAATAAAGAAAAAACAGACTGAAAACTTTTTCAAATAAGTTTTTAATCTAAGAAATAGACAATGAAAAGAGTGTGAAAAGTAGTTAAAAAATAGGGCTTTCATTGTGCAATGTTGATTTTAATTATTGGGAAATCGTGGGATGTGGTCTGGTGTGATGTAGGTTTCAGAAAAACATTTTCTTTATCGTGCCAACATTTCGAACTTTATTGAGATCATCTTCATGGCCTGGGATTTACAAACATTGTTTAAATTTACAAATACATGTAGGATGTGGAAAAAAGTGAATTTATACAATCAAAATATATTTTTTATATTGAATCAAAGTATTTCTACTCTCTCAAATTGTTTGTTTTCTGCGTAATTGTGCCATTTTTGCATGTTGTGTTGAGAGTGCTTGTGAGATATTGCTGTTTTATGTTTATATATGTTGGATTTTGAAGGGGTGGGGAAGGAAGTCGGTATAGAAAAGACATTTTTGTATAAGGAGTTGGCTTCTTTGAGGTGAAAAAAGCTGACGAAGGAAAAAACCTTGGTAATGTTTTGGTCAGATTATCCTTTCAGGATTATATAGATGGGGATAAATAGGAAAAGGAAAGCTAAATTGCTGAAAAATTAGACTATGTGAAAAATGACGTGTGGAATGTGATGTGATGTTATATGTATGTTATCTATATTGAATTTGATTAATGAAATTGGTGTAGCTGGGACTGAGTTTACATGTGTCTGTTCTGTAATTGATGATGTGTTTATCTCTGTTGATGTAAACCATTTCTAAAAAGTTACGTTTATGTTTGTTTTGTTCTGTGTGTAATATTTTTGGATTGTTGAAATCGAAATTGTGTTTGTGTTCAAAATGGTGGGTAGCGAGTGCTGTAGGATTTTGCTTGAGTTTTTTTGCAATCATAGATACGTCGATTTTAATGGAATTTTGTAATCTTCATAGTGCAATGCATGTGCACCCATCGACGTGGTCGTTTCCATTAAACACATACAAATACATTGAAAAAAATTCGATTTTTTTGGGAGAAGGGTGAATTTATCGTGGAAACTGAGGTTTACAAGCTTCATTCTTGCGTCAAACGATTCAGCAGGGAAATTTCCCTTAAAAAGATAAAAAATGTTAAAATTTTTGTTTTTGCGTTTATCTCTGAAACTATGAGATTCACAAGCTTAATTTTTACACCCATCAACTCGTTAAAAAAAAATATAAAAAAGTAGGATTTTTGTTTTTAGTGGAGCCTGCTTTTGATGCCAGGGACCACGTTCACGTTTTTTCCCAGGGTTTTGGGAATGTAATGTATCCATAGGCATCTATCTATCCAATTCCTTAAATTCACTAATTTCGTGGTCTGCCTGACCAATTAATATATTATAATTATTTTTCACTAACTAAAGCTCTCCGTGGCCATTTCATTTATCGTCGAGAATCCAATCCGATTACATGAAATTTGAAAAATGGCAAAAAGGTGCGGTTGAGATGGGAAGTTGGTGTCCGAGTGGATCTAGGTCACGATAGCTCAAGTGGTAGAGCAGCGGCGTATCTAGCCGAAGATCATGGTTTTTTTTATCTCAACTAAAAACCTTAATTAATTGTAATATCTATCTAATGTTTGATATCTCCGTACTTATTTTAAAGGGCATGTTCTTGTTAACAGGGGGTAGAAGTTTATTATGACCCAGGCTCTTTTTTGTTTAAAGTAACTGAATTTGTTTTCTCAATTCTTTCGAGGTGATAGATGATAGTAGTTTTGGTGATGCTATTGGGGCATATTATTCTGCATTATTATAAATAATAATTATTTCATTATTCTGCATTCTCCTCTATGTTTTAAATATTTGACAAAGACATCACATCTTATATAGAATCTATGATCATCTTAAAAGTATGATGATATAAGGTGTAGAATCAACTATTTTATATCAAATCTAACCATAAAAGTATGATAGCATAAAGGTTGCCCAGGGCAATCATATACAATGCTGCACTAAACAAAAGATTGTAATCTTATCATTTGATTAAATTTCTTTGAATTAATACAACAATTACGTTTTATACCGTTTATTTTCCATGATTTATCTAAGGAAGACAAATAAAAAACCAGACTGTTAAAACATGGCCAAGTTGGAATCTGGCTGCGCTTCCAAAAATTCTGACTGGAGTAACCAAATGTGTGTCCGAAAACCTTCACCACTGTCTTGAAGCTGAGAAATGCATTTTATTAATTAAAAATAAATTTATGTAGTTTTTTAACTAAATAATTTTTTTGGGGTTAAATAAAAAAAAAGTTGTGGTAAATTATCTTTTATTTACACTATACAAAAAAAAACTTTTAATTTTTTTAAATTATAATTTGGAAGAATTAATTTTGAAGTTCTTATTTGTTGGAACAGTACAGATCAAGAAACCGATCCACTAAAACAGAAGAAATTTTGGTTTTTTGATTTAAATTGTAAAAAAGATCAGGTTTAACTTTTACCTTTCTGCGTCCCCGAGTACCTCACCCTCCTCTGGTGATTTACGTTTGTAGTCGGTGGCGCATTTTCCTTGTGGACAAAAAAAAAAGAATAAAAAGAAAGTAATAAAATAAGCGAAAGTTGTTGATAGAACATACTTGTTGTTGTTCTTGCGAGTCTTCAAGCTGCATTCGCTGAATGTCAAGCGTGAGCCTTTTCACTTTTTCCTTTTCCTGACGTTCCATTTCTTCACGGTGTTTCAGGTTACGCACAAGATCGGAGTCGAGGGGTACGTTTAAGCTTTTACACTGCGATTTATTTCCCTTACGCAGCAGCAGAACGAAAGACGAGTTCGAGTCTAACAGAAAATTATTGATTTATTTTTTGCATGACAGAAGAAAATATGACCTACCATTTGTTTTATGCGACTTGCCAAGCATCGGGACTACAATGTCTTGTGAAGGGCGGATTGACTCTTTAAGTCTCTCTTGGACGTTATCGGAGACCATTTTGTCAAGCTCAAGAAGGAAGTCATCATCATTATTATTTTGAATCTGTAATCATTTAATTTATTAAAAAATTGTTATGATAATATAGCAACAATATATTTACCATTTTTTCTTTTTCATTATATTCTTCTTCTGTTAAACCTAAGAAAATAATTCATAAAATCAAATCTAAATCTAAATACAGATTTAGTTTCTTCAATATTTTACCTTCCTCGTCTTCTTCATAGAGGATAGAATCATCATCATTGTTACCATATCCTGGTGAATATAAGCCTTGATTCACTATCAGCTCCTACAAAACACATTTTATAAAAAAANTGTTAATAATAATAAAAAAAAAATAAAAATACCTGTTTAATATTGAATTCAGATATTATCTGATCCTGGAGATTCTTGACGGCCGTAAGTGCTTCCTGGTAGCTCGTATAAAGTGGTACGTTTGGACAGTTTTTCTCCCTGCAGTCTTCCAATTGGTACTGGGCGTAAACAGGGAACTTGTTGTCGTCATTCCAACATGGCGCGCTTTTTTTCGACCAGAAGTAACACTGAAATATAACATTAAATTGTAATGTATATAATATAAAGTATCAAGTATTTAATCACCTGAAAGTATGTAAAAAAATAAGGAAGCTTCGTCTTGACATCAGCGTGTGTTAGAAACTTGCCGCACGTGTCTAGCAGTGTACACGTAAGCCTAATCCTTATAAGGTTGTCGGGCGGGTCGAGCGGAGAAGGAAGTGACTTATTCAAGCTCACCCCAAACATTATCAATGAATAAAGGACCTTTAAAGGTTATAATTATTGCATTATAAAAAAAATTCATTGCGGTGTCAAAGTTAAGAAAGAGAAAACTGACTTTGAAAACATCTGAGCTCTCGATGAGCCTGTAGTTGTACAGTTCGCCGAAATATTTGATCATCGTGACCCTCCTTTGGTTCATCTTTGGTAAGTTTATCTCCATCCCGAGTCGGATATCCTCCATGACAGAATCAACAACTTTTGTCCCGACGAATTCCTGCAAGTTTCAACAATTAGATTTAGTCAAAAAAACAAAATGTTGAAAATTTGATGTACTTGGAATTCGACAAGGGCGGCAACAAGATTGGCCAAGGAGGCCAGCCGATGAAACTTAATTTTCCAAGCGCTCGATAAGCACTTTATTGCATAATTAGCGACTTGCTCATTTTCCCAGTCGAGTGCTCTCATCTGTTTGATAACCTTGCGCTCATTGTCATTACACATTAAATCCTACAAAAAAATATATAATTAAAATACATAAAAGAAAGAAAACCAAAGTTGAAGTTTAGTCATATAATATAGTTTATATAGCAGTATATTTATTATATTATATACACTTGAGGTGCTGTTGTTTTTGCAAAAAAAAAAAAAAAAACCCACAGGACCCCCATTTTTTCTAACTACAAGGTCCTATCTACAAGACAAACCCCCTCAGAGTGCCATTGTTAAAAAAATAAATTAAAATAATCGAGTCCCATAGGATTCGAACTCGGGACTTTCACCTTACAGTGCAGCAGCAACAAGTATTGTGTCAATGCCTCAACTGTTGTGACCACTGCTGCCACTTGACTTCTATTTTTAATTGCAAAATTACCTGAAAAACAAGTTTCCTTATATATTCATGAAGGGGAGGCCGCACTTTTTTCTGTACAGTCGAGCTTTCCGGAGGGTTGACAAAGTAGTACGCATTTTCTATCATGTTTGTATACCTGATGTCCAGTGCAGTAGCTGCTTTTAACCTCATCATGTCATCCTGTAACAAAAAAAATAAATAAAAAATAAATAAATCAATAAACAAAAAATAAAAAATTAATACTTTAAATATAAATGAAATAAATCAATTTACCATATATATTTTGGTACGACGATGAGATTCGGTGTGACGATACAGGTACCGACCGCAAGTTTCAAGTATGTTGCAAGCCATTTCGATATGATGGTGCGTGAAGTCGTGCAACAATAGCTTGAGACAGTAAAGCGCTTCGATTTTTGGAAAAAGCCCAAACTTGACCAGTTCTCCGATGTAGCGAGACACTTTTATTTTTGACTCTAGGTTTATTTGATCCTTAAAAGTTATAAAAATAGTGAGCAAAATTGATTGTATTTGAGAAATAATGTTTTCAATACCTTCTTTCTAACATGGTATTTGAAATCTTGCTTGAGGAGGCTTGTCAGGTTGACGGCGATTTCTGGAATGACGGGGTTCAGTATAGCTACGAGCCTACCATAGAACGGTAACAGGTCCAGTCTTGTGCGAGATACTCCAAACAAAGCTCTTGAAAAAAAAAAAAAATTAAACAAATATGTATAACATGTAAGCATTTGTATAATAAAATTTGATTACTTGATAAGCTTCCTCCTGCAATTCTTTGTATTGTGGAAAACGACAAACTCAACGGCGGCGTTGTCGATCATTTCACGGTTTACACAACTCGGCAGGTTGTTCAAGAAACTCTCAAGGACGACTTTGACGTTCGAACCTTGCGCTTCTTCAGGTTCTGTTAAGACTTTGTTGAATTATTAACTTCTGTCTTATCAATGCAAAAAAACTTGCATTTTGAATTTTTTAATCGAGTAAATATAATCCTCATTTTGTAAGTATTTTATAAATTGCAAAAGAAATAGTTAGTAAAGATATTATTGATAAAAATGGTAATACCTTCAGGAATAGGCAGTTCTTCTTCTTTAGGAACTTCTTCAACTTCTAGATCTTCTTCTTTGACATCCTCATCTAGTTTATCTTCACTCATCTTCAAAATCAAAAGATAACAATGAAAAATAGAAAAAGCGGCCACAAACAAACATACATACTGGTGGTTCAATAATGGCCTGCTCTGGTGAGGATTTTACTGTTGGTAGGAACTCTTGGAGGTTGGGAAAGACTTGGTAAAAACACCTGGACTCATCATCTTCCCAAATGCCCTCGTCAAGGGCCAGACCGTCTTCAACGTCAACTGGACTCCTGTCGCTTGATGAACCTAAAAAACAAATTAAGTTCTGACAGATCTGAAAATAGGAATAGCTATTTACCAATGTTAGGAAGCGGTGGCAGTGGTTGATCCAAGAGTTCAGCGAGGGTTTCTGCACTTGTAAGAAGTGTCTGCAGTTCTGTTTGCATCACCTCAAGTTGATGAAGCCTTTCCTGCCTCACTTCACCTTTCAATCTCAGAAATTGGTCGTTCTGCCTCTCATAGGCTTGCACTTTGGCATGATCCTGAAAAGTGAACTTATTTTATAGAAATCTTGGACGTAATTTGATGGGGGAATTTTACTTTTAAAAGATGCTGGCACAAAGAAGCGTAATATTCTTTAAAAAGTGACTGAACGTTCATTTGCTTCTCAACACTCAACAGTGTGCTTCTTGGAAGATCAACTTTATATTTTTCACAAAGTTTTCTTATGTGTTTAGGAACAAGGCCTAAAAAATAATTAAATAATAATAACAATATAAAAAATTAAATATCAAAATTTACCTGCAAAATCTTCACCACAGTGTTTGCAGAAACTGATAATTATATTGACATTATGATGATTTTCTTTGTCTTTATTTGTAAGGATTGTCAAAATTGTTCCAAGGAGTGGAAGAGCTTCTTTATTTGCAAGCATTCCCGATGATACCAGGTCACCGTAGAACCTCAGATCAACTCTTAATTTACTTACATTCTCAATCTTAATCGCAATAAAAAAATAAAAAAAAAAGTAGAAAAAAATTGGTACAATAATTTTAGTAAGAAAGTTTTTAATTACAGGTTCATTTTTCTTCAGATGCAGAGTTTTAATCCAATGCTCAAGGAAGATTGATGCAAAGTCAGCATACGTCCAGTGGATGTTGCAGCAGAGCAAGACAGCAGCTGGGACATCTGTGATTTTCAATTTAACCTCAGTTAGAGCTGTTGCGACTTCACTGAGATATTTGGAGAGATTGAGTCCTGCCAAATCCTTCAGGAAGGTGTCCAACTGGCTGCTGGTGAAGTTTCTCTGTATGACAAGACCCGTTAAGAAAATTATTCTACTTCTACAATTTAAATTTATTTACAAGTCTCTTCACGAACGCGGAATTCTTCTTGAGGCTTGAGTCTAGCTTGCAAAGCGCAGCAGCATCAGGCCTCTTCTTGCAAGCCAACTGGTTTTTGTTGAACAGGTCAAGTTTAAGGTGGAGTCGCTTTTGAAAATCTTCAAGATATTGGAAAAGATCAGCCTATGGGAAAAAAATATTATCATAAAATTTGAAATAATACTTTCCAATGTAAGTGATCATATCTGTCATATCTAAATATATTTATTTCACAGTAAAAATATTTAATTAATTACACACAGTTAACTTAGATCAACATAATTTGCATGAAAGTCGAAAAATTGAGCTGGGTGTACAAGTTGCCCTAGCAATGTATTACACACTATTGGCAATATTGATCTAACATTTATTGTTTAGGGAGATTTCATCTAGAGGTCTGTGGGGATATGAGCCATTAGTTTGGTCAATTCCGATCATTCTTATATTTTATAGTTTGTATGTATTTTGACTTCTCATCGTCTTCAGTGGGGGTTTGTGTGTTTTTTGTTAACTGAATATGTACCCAGTATTGTGGGAAAAGCTGGGGACTAAATGTAAAGATGTCCATATAGTTATACACAGCAGTTGTTAGGCCAATATTGTATTAATTCCAAACTTATCTTTGGTCTAATTCTTATCTGGCTATTAATTAAAAATATAAAATAAATTTAGTGATAAGTTTATTGGACTTTCATCTCAAAGGGGTGATACTCCTCGATGTGCTCACCCTTGGGTTTATACATCAGGGAGTTCACCTTACCATGTGTGTTCAGGTCCATAGTATCCCCCTTAAGCCAGACGCCCAGTAACCCCCCCCCCCCAACTAAGCTAAACCAATTAGGTATGCAACACAAAGTCATCCTCTGCTGGGCCCCAGGACATGTGGGAGCAGAAGGCAATGAGAAAGCTAATGCCCTTGCAAGAACATGGATTGCTATATATATATATATATATAGGAATCTACACTATTAATGACCACCTCGGACAAAAGGATAAAAAGAAAATGAAGGAACAATGGAATTGTACAATTCAAGAAGCTTCTAACAAGCGTTTGAAGGAAAGAGGTAAGAGAATGCATAAAAGGAAGCAGGAAAAAACTGCGAATCCTAACAGGATTCTTAAGAGAACATTGCAAATTAAATAGACTTCTGAAGATCGGCATAACCCAACATGTCAAGTGCAGATTCAGCAAAGAAGCAGAAGAAACACCAACACACTAACAAACTGTGGTGCTACACTTGCCAGAAGCGTTTTGGGACGTACAATGCCTTATAAGAGATTCAACGGGGCCTTCTTCAATTGTTGAAACGGGGCCTACTAATAACTTCTTTGATAGATTAGGACTGGTGTGCTATAAGCACATAATGGGGGATACAACAGCTCTCAAAGGACCCCGATTATACATCTGCATCTCACCACTTACACTGATAGGGATAGGGATAAAAGAGGCAGCCACAAGGCCTACTGCATCTCGACCTGAATAGATCTATTGTGCTCCCCTGTTATTTATAACTCACAGGCCAGCTTCCTGGCTCCTTAATGTAGGATCTTGCTTGTGGTTTTTCTTGTCCTAGAACGCACCTACATAGACCTTCACAGAAATGTAGAATTTGTTCTGTAGTCTCCTTTTCCTGGCAGTATCTGCACAGTGTTTCTTCTGTCTGTGTAGTATTGCTAACATGTAGCATTGTTCCAGGTTATGGACTCATTATGAATCCATTTTAAGATGTATCCTCTTTTGTGACAGGATGCTAAGCACAGTAGGATTCAGGACCCAGAGAGACCATGTGGGCCTCCTTTTTGGCCAACATATCAACCTTTCTGTTTCTTCAATGCTACCTTTTGTTGCCTATGATTTCACACAGGAAAACTGTAGCATACTTACCTAGGTTTACCTCAGTTTGGACTTGGGGTTCATCCCAAAGACCTTAACTGACGTACCCTTGCCGGTTTTGGAGCCGTCAGTATACCAGTAGGAATTTACCTTTAATGGTCTTCCTATGGCCCATTCTTCGTGTTCTGGTAAAGTTGTATTTTGGAATAGTGGTATTGATTGGCATGCCTAATATAGAATCTGTCTGTACCTCCTCCCACAGTTTCCATTGTTTATTTACATGGCCTATCCTATCCTATCGGAAGTCGTCCATTATAAGCCTATGAGCTGCTGCTCTGGCTTTTCCTTGGATTAAGATATTAAGTCGGGAGAAGTTTAACAACACTTTCAGGGCCGAAGTTGGCGTTGTGCACATGGCTCCAGTAACACTGATACAGGCTTGTCTTTGGGTGCCACTTAGTAGCCTTAATGCTTTGGCCGGAAGAGTCATGGCCAACCACACCATTGACCCATATGTCAACATTGATCTTAGGACCCATAGGGTCGTTTTAAGGTTTAGAGCCCAGTTCTTGGCGCAGAGCCACTTACACTAATAAATACACACTCAAAACACATAAAAATAAACCACACATCAATGATAAATATTAACTTTGTTATATCTGGGTAACATGCACGGTTATGGACGTTACACAGATTGCCTTCATACAAGCAGAGTACAAATGTGATCAGTAGACCTGTTGCATCTGTACATTACTACTGGGATGATTGACTAGATTTATTTTATAAATTTTTTTATAAATTAAATTTTTTGTAAATTTGGTCTAAAGTGAAATTGGTAACCACCAATGGCGATTATAAAATTCACTGATTGTTACAATTCATGAAGTTAAATCCTTTCAATCATCAATGTATAAATTCAATTTGTCGGTGAATGTGAATGAAGAATGAACTCGGATTGTTAAAAATAAAAATATAAAGGACGAACCTTCTCTTTTTCCTCGACGTCGACCGGTTTCTCTTCGTTTTCTTCCACCGTCATTTTTCGAAAATAAATCAAAACTCTCGGAGGTGAAGCTGTGCGCCCCCGGGGAAACGCTACATCTAGGAGTGAAATCGTTTGGTGCAGGCGACAGCTGATTGCTGTTTCCCAGAATCAATCTTCAAGGACTTCGAAGTGCAACAGTCGAAATGATCTTCCACTCTTATCTTATCTTCACGTCTATGTAGAACCGTAGAACGGGTTTTTTTTTTACAATTCCGCCTGTTTTAACTGTCTCGATGGGTCGGCTTTTGATTTTCACGGGGGCTATGGGATCGATGTCCAAGTTGTGTAATATTAATCGCACACCGAGGTCAAATGTAAACAGGCATTTGACGATGACACAGCCGCTGGTCAACTTCTCACAGAACTTCACTTTCAAACAGGTACGCGGATTTTTGCCACTCTCTTCGAATTGTTTTCGGCTAAATGAAAGCTTTTTTGCAGCTGTTCGACCCGGAAAGTTCGACTTACACGTACCTCCTGGGTGACGATAGCATCAAAGAATGCGTCCTCGTCGATCCGGTGCTCGAGCAGGTCGAAAGAGACCTCCAGGAGATAAAAGAAAAGGGTTTGAAGCTCAAATACGCCAGTGAGTTTTGATTAGATTATTAATTAGCATTTTAACCCATTAACATTCTGACTACTTCCCTAAATTGTCGATTTCTATCTTCGATCTTTGGTTATATTTCAAAATTAAATTTCAAACTTTTTCGATCAAATTTCCTTAAGAATGATGGCAAAATGAGTAAATTCCGCGAAATCCGGAGGTTTGTGTACGTGATTGTAACAAGGAGGTGCATAGAGACGAGGTTGTCACTACGGATATTCGCCGTGACGTCATAAACCGAGATGGGTTAATTAGATAATTATTTTCAGCCTTATTGCTCTTCTTTTTTCCTTTTATTGATTATTTATTTATTTAATTTAGTTGAAAGATAAAAATAGGGCTTTACGCTCCCTTACATGAACTTATATTAGAAATCAATTTGTATAAATAAACTAAAGTAATAATCATATACATTGACAGGCAAAAATTCGACCCCTTTTTTATTTTTTTATTTATTTTTTATTGTTTTTATTTTGTTTAACGATGGTTTGCAACTGCAGAGGTCATGCAAACCCATTTTTTTTACGACGGTCGCAACAGCAGAGGTCATGTAAACCCATTTTTTTACGACAGTTCGCAACAGCAGAGGTTATGTAAACCCTCAGGGTGCTAGTGTTTTTGAAAAAAAAACAACAACCATTTGTAAATATGTCGGGTTCGAATGCAGGGCCGCTGGATTCGAACCCGGGAGCTTTACCTTACAGCTGAGGTCTCGAGGTATGAGCGCCTAAACCGTTGCGGCCACCGACGCCCCTTCATTCCACCCATTGCAATATAACTTGATTTTTATATATTTTTATATTTTGTTGAAGTCTTGAGGAGCGGTCAAGAATGAGGTAGTTTAGAAAAAAACACCTTTTTCATTTATCTGCTGACGTTTCGAGCTTTATTCGGATCATCTTCAGGGCATAAAGTGTGGTGCTATTCTTGTGGTGTCTGACATAACGTTGACACAACACTTTCACTCAACCCCAGTATTACACAACTTTCTAGAAATAGTTTACATTAACAGAGACACACAGCATCAATTACAGAACAGATACATGCAAACTCAGCCGTAGCTACGCCTGCATCATAAAGCAAATAACCTATTAAACTTTACTTTTTATATTTTCTTTTCCTTCGTTATCGTCCATAATAATTAACTTCCTTTCCTACGTGTGCTATTTAGTGACCGTTAATTAATGATTATTTAGAGATTGTGAGATGCGGTCTGGTGTGATGTAGGTTTAGAAAAACATTTTTTTAATCGTGCCAACGTTTCGATCTTTATTGAGAACATCTTCAGAGCCTGTATTTATAAACGTTGTTTAAATTATACAAATATATGTACAAAAGTTTGATTAAACCCTAAATTTCTATATTGCGAACATCATTGTATAAATTCATTTTCACATCTTACATGTATTTGTAAAGAAAATGTTTATCTAAACGTGTATAGTGGTTAGTGACCGTTAATCGATAATTATTCAGAAATAGTGAGATGCGATCTGGTGTGATGTAGGTTTCAGAAAAACATTTTCTTTATCGTGCCAACGTTTCGATCTTTATTGAGATCATTTTCAGGGCTCAAAGTGTTTGTCTTCTGTGTAATTGTGCCATTCTTGCGTGTCGTTAAACGGCCGAAAAACGTTAGATACAGTTGTTAAATGTAAACAATGTATGTAAATCACAGGCCCTGAAGATGATCTCAATAAAGGTCGAAACGTTGGCACGATAAAGAAAATGTTTATCTAAACCTACATCACACCAGACCGCATCTCACGATCTCTAAATATTTCTTTCCAATGCTGAATAATCCCGAATCACAAATCTAATCCAGAAAATCCCCATTCTCGACTTCCTTTGTGTTAAATAAAATCGCCTATGAAGAAAGAAAATTTCCCAAATTTACCCCACCCTGTGACAATCATATTTATATCGTATCATTCATATATCGTATCACAGCAGAATACAAATTCACGATTCACAACAATTTCACACAACACCAATGTTGACTTTTCAGCATATACACGCAGACTTAAAACTTCCCATTGGTGTCGATACAACAATCCTATCTGCAAACCTCGATCCCTCCAAGACTACCTCCTTACATAGAACCATGATTCCGCAAATGGAGAATAAAAATAAATGAAAATAAAACAAATAGAAATAAGAAATATTCAGATAATCTACATTGAAATTCGCTAATAATTATTTCTCTCTTCAATTTTTCTTTTAAGTGTTATCATATGAATCATAATAAGCTTTATCAAAGGAATTTTGTTAGATTTTTAATTTAGATAATTTTGTATTTCTAGGTGTTACTGCGTTTTCCTCATGTTCTTCAGTTTCAAGTTTATCGTTCGATATAAACCTTGAAATGTTATATATTAAATAACACATTAATGGCTTTGACGTATTATAAAATATTCAAGTATGACAATTGTTTAAATTCACCACTTTAAAATGCAAAAAGTTTTCAATTACTAATGAGATAAATATTACTTTACGTTTAAACTTGGAGATTTATAAATCAATATTTTCCTCTGGTGACCGTTAGGTTCTAGTTGAAATTATGACTAAATTTTTTATTGAGTGGATTGATTATCATGCGGATCGATTCAGCAAAGTAATTTGGTTTTCACAATTCATGCTTTCTGTTGTTGAGGTGTAAACTATAATTAAAATGTTTACAAGCTTTATTGTACATTTTATAATACTTTAAAATCTATACATTCAATTCTTAGTAATATTCAATTTTTTTTTTTAAATTGGATTGTCAGTTTTCAATTAGCGTTTCTCCAACACGCACCCTTCTAAATCCTTCCTTTTTATACTAAAAACAATAAATTGTCCTATATATGTATGTACTTTTACAAAGCAATACTATCTGGAAAGCAGAACTTCAAAAGATTATATCTAGTGAAAGGCGAGGGGTTTTACAATATATTCCCTTACTAGAATGAAATACTTTGGTGCACGGTTTCCAACATTTTCTCCTGTAATAACGTTTCCTTTTTATAATAAAAGCCATAAATTGTTGCATGCACATACTTTAACAAAATAATACTCGTTTGTGATTGTGTAAGGAGGTAGGTTTTACAATGGTTTACCTTTCTAGAAATGACCTTTTTGTATAGCTGCTGTTTCACATATCATCCATACTTTTACGAAATAATACTTTTTCACAAAAACTACTTCTTAATTGTTCGGTTCGTACGTATTGTAAGGAGAAAGGTTTTACAATGGTTTTACTCCCTATAACTATCATATGGCGCTGTTTTCAACGCTTTTTCTTGCAACTGTGTTTCTTTTTAACAATAAAAACCATTAGCTATTATATAAAGATAGATAGATAACACACTTTATTTACAACAAAGAAAAAACATTGAATTGTGCGTAAAGTGCAAGACTTGCAATTTTTTACCATCTATGATGGTTAAGAGATCAAGCAGCTGAGACCTGGAAAGCTCTCTACGTCCTAGATACTGGATTCGAAGCTATGGCAATATGGGTTACTGGGCAAAAAAACGAAAGACATCCTTCGTTACTTTTAGATGACATAGCGTACACATACAATTTTCGTCGTTTTCCATCCGTGGCACGTAGTTTTAGAAACATTTCCTAGCATCTAAGTTTATGCAACCATCGAAAATCAGGGAGTTTCAGAGAACTAGCATCTTGAACATTTAAGTTAAATATTGCAATATATGTACGTACTTTTACCAAGGTAATACTTTTTAAAAAGATTCTTTTGTTTGTGATTGTGTAAGGAGGTAGGGTTCGCAATGGTTTGTCTTTCTGGCAGTGATCTTTTGGTGTAGATGCTGTTTTAACTTCAAGAAAACTTTTGCGAAATAATCCTTTTTCACAAACACTAGTTTGGTTGCTATAGCACGTTCTGTAAAGAGAGAGGTTTTACAATGGTTTCACTATAACTATCATATAGTGCTGTTTCCAACACATTTTCTTACAATAATGTTTTTTTAATAGTAAATTGTTTTCGACATATATTTCTACAAAGTAATATTTTTTACAAGCACAATTTATTTCGTTTTTGATTGTGTAAGGGGGTAGGTTTCACAATTGTTTGCCTTTCTGGCAGTGATCTTTTGGTATAGATGCTATTTTACCTTTAAGCAAACCTTTAAGAGATAGTACTTTTTACCAAACACTAGTTCTTAACTGTTTGGCTGTCATAGCACGTGCTGTAGAGAGGAGGTTTTACGATGGTTATGGCGCAAATTCCAACAATTTCTCTTGTAATATTGTTGCCTTTTAATAGTAAAAACCATAAATTTGCAAACACATTCTTTAACAAAGTTATACTCTGTAACAAGCGGAAGTTTTTGGGTTTTCGATTATCATTTGGTGTATGGAATGAGATTTGTCAATGGTTTTCCTCCTTAGAGTCGACAGATATCTTTTGATTGCGCTGTTTCCAGCATTTTCTTCTACAATAATGTTTCCTTTTAATAGTAAGCCATAAATTGTTGCATTTATGTATGTTGCAAGTTAATGCTTTTTACCAAGCAGAAGTTCCCATGATATCGACTGACATATCTGTGAGATGTTTCTCTTTCCTTAGAAGTGACATACGTCTGTTGGTGGCGTTTTCAACACTTTCTCGTGCAATACCTTCCACAATAATATAAAACGTTATAATAATACTTTTCAGAAATAATATGTACTTGACGGTTGTATGTAATATGTTGTCCAGTGAACACCCACGTCCATGCAGATCATATCACCGGCTCAGGACTGCTGAAGAATAAAACCGGCTGCAAGTCCCTGATTTCTAAGGCGAGCGGTGCAAGGGCCGACGTACACGTCTCACCCGGGGATAAAATCGAGTTCGGTAATTTCTGCCTCACCGTCAGACCAACACCAGGCCACACGAACGGTAACCCAAATGTACAAAATAAATTGTCGAATATTTGAATTTCAACTTAAAGATTTCGCCTGTCCAGGGTGCGTCACTTACGTCTGCGAAAGCGAGGAGTTCGCCCTGACCGGCGACGCTCTGCTTATCGGAGGATGTGGAAGGACAGATTTTCAAGAAGGAGATCCAAAAACTCTCTACGAATCGGTTCATTCCCAAATCTTTTCCTTACCGAACCATTTTAAGCTTTTTCCCGCTCACGATTACAAAGGTTTGTTTTGTTAAGATAGATTTATATGTAATTTATTTAAACAAAAAAATGTATCTACAGGAAAGACAGTGACAACAGTCGGCGTCGAGAAAATGACGAATCCCAGACTGTCAAAGTCTCTAGAAGAATTCGTCTCCATCATGAAAAACTTGAATCTGCCTTATCCGAAAAAAATAGGTAGATAGTACAAAAGATAACCAACTTTGTATATTCAAAATCCTATTTCTTTCAGATGTTTCTGTACCGGCAAACAAGGTCTGCGGTATTCAGGAATAAAAAGAAATTGTAAGCTTGTCTTTTTTAATTCATAAGTCTAGTTTTTTTATTAATTGTTTCAAGATTTCAGATATACTCAGAATTCAGCACTGCAATGCCATGCAATGTTGTAAGGTCCTAAGAAGCAAACCAACCAAGCAAACATCTTGAAGATTGAATGTGACACTATTTTTCGACAACACACCCCCACATGATACTATATTATTTTAAAATTTTTAAATGTAGTTTATTAGCAAAGTATAATCTAACCTTTGTTCACATGGGATAAAGTCAATCACAGTATAAACGAAATGACAGTACATAATCAACGTGTTTTGCATTTATTTTTCCTTCTAGTTCTGAATAATTGAGTTTAATTTATGGAAAAACAGCTGACTTTAAGTTGTACACTTTTTAACAAGTCCACACACCTTCATGCCGATCCAGTAAAAAAAAAATGCTTCTTGAAATGGAACGCATCCCAGTATGCGATATCGTTTCCTTTACGTACAAGTCCAAATTTCATGCTGGAAAGTTTTAAAAAATCAAGTTTGCTTCTTGAACACATAGCAACTCCCATTTAAAATAAAATAAGACATGGAGTTTTACGATTATTTCACCGATCTGGGCGAAATCATCATCCCCGAGATTCTCGACAGCAGCGAAATCAACAACACGGTGATCGAAAATTTGAGAGAGATGAAGGGCAAGTTTATGGTGGGTTTTATGATAGAAGTGGCCCTCAATCCTACCTTGGTGGTGCAGGAGCCGTCGGATGTGGAACAGGTGATGACCCAGGATGAGATAAGGAAAGTTTATGCTCTTAATTTCTTCAAGAACCGCAAGCTGAAGTATAAGCAACTGATCCATTCCCTGGCCGAAGAGCAGACGGACGGCATGAAGAATCTAAAAGACAAATTCCTCAACGACCTCAACTCTCTGAGCTCCACGAGGGACATGGATACGGACGAGGAGGCTTACCAAGCGCTCAAGAACCACCTGACCATGGTGCAGAAAAGGCTCATCTCCATTGAGAAGCGGAACGAGGCGGTCCAGCTCGAGTTCGAGAAGAAGCTGGCCCGTCTGAAGTACGTCGACAAGAAAAACACAGAACTGGAGAAGCTCTACCTCAACCCTGTCATAGAGGCGCACAACAAGCTTAAAGGAGGTGAGTCTCTCAACGATGAAGAGACGATGCAGGTCATCTACGCCAAGTGGAAAGGGCTTAACGTTCGACTGAGACGAACCCTGAAAAAAGTCCACCAGCACTACCTAAACTTGTTCTGCAAACGCAATTTAGCCTTCAGTTTCTTGGTGAAGCAGGTCGGGAACCGGGAAAGGTGTATATTCCTCAACACAACGGCAAACCCTGTAATTAATCTTATTTAACATATGTCCTAATGTAAAAACCAAAACAACCGACAAATCAGCTAGTTAAAAATTCTCAACATATGAAAAAATACCTTTTTCTAAATCAATCCAAGAAAGTAAAGAGAGAGAAAAGAGAGAGAGGGAGAGTGAAACGATAGATGAAGGAGAGATGAGTGAGGAAGAAAGATAGAAGTGTAAAAGTAAAAAAAAAATTGTAGGAAAGGTAGATGATAGAGGAGAGAGAGAGAGAGAGAGAGAGAGAGAGAGAGAGAGAGAGAGACTAAGAGAGGGTGCGTGAAGTGGTGGGAGAGGGGGAAAGAGTTTGTTGGGATGGCGTGAGGAAGATATTAGAACACAAAATCTATAAAAACTTTGTAAAAATGAGATAGAGGGAGATAGATATATACATAGATAAAAAAAAAACGGTAGAGAGTGCCGTAGATAGGTAGATTGAGAGAGAGAATGAGAGAGAGAGAAAGAGATAGAACTGAGGTAAAGCTAGATAGAGAGAGATAAAGAGAAAAGGTGGATAGAGTGAGTGAGAGATAGAAAGATAAAGAGAGAGAGTGGAAGAAAGAGAGAGAGAGAGAGAGAGAGAGAGAGAGAGAGAGAGAGAGAGAGAGAGAGAGAGAGAGACAGACTAAACGAACGTGTATAGGGAAAGTGACTAAACAAAGCTGACAAACCATAAAAAAAGCTTCAAGACGAAAACCCATTGCACCAGATAGTGCAAAACGATTATACATCATCTGCTAGGTGACAACCGATCCATCAAAACTGAACATAACCGATCAATCGTCTTTTTCAATCTCAGGACAAATTGATTTTACAAGGGTGGTTTCAGGAAGAAGGCTGGGCCAGTACACAGCCCGTCAGTCCCGAGTCCTCGGACTCAGACCTGTTCGAGACGTCGGAATCCTGCTTTCCCCATACCCTGGCCGCGATCGGGAACAACGTCGTCGATATGTCAAGGATTCACTATCAAATTGATAGGATGAAGCGCATAACCAAAAACCTCGTCCACTAGCCGATTAACTATCAGGAAAAGGCCAATGAAACGTTGATCTCCTTCGTTTCTGATGACTCAATTGTCGACGGAGATATCAATTAAAACAATCCAGAAAAAAATAACTGCATTCTATCTTTAAATAATAGACTTGTTAAAAAAAATGAAATTTAGATTCTATTAAACATAGATAATAGACTAATTTGAACGCGGAAAGACGTCACGGGTCACTGATTCAGTGATCGTCGATTTGTAATCTTTTACCGATTTGATCTATTTTCTCGCAAAATTGGCTTTCAATAATGACATCCTTCATTACTCCAGAATCAATCAAATTGTGCAAAAAAAAAAAAAAAAAACAGAGGAAACGTTTTGAGATATTTGTCGGTCGGCTTCAGAGGTAATAGCAGCATCGATAATGAAAGTCCTCGGTATCATCGCCTTGTGCTTAATCAGTAGAACAGTGTGTAACAAGGTGATTAATTATTTTCGTAAACAATCAGTGTAAAATGTAAATTTAAATTACCTAGTAACACTTTTCAGATAGATCAGATTCTGACTGTCGAAAAGATGATCAACTGCCCCGACAGGGTGGCGCGTAACCCGAACTTCTTCTCAGAGTACAACTACGCGCGTAACATCACTTACAGGAAGTACAAACTGGTGCAAGTACCGAGCGGGTACATATACATCAACACGGGAGTTAGAAAGTTGAAAGTAAGCGAAAAAAAATGGAAAACAAAAAACAACAAATACTAGCAAAAGTGTGGAAAATATTTTTAATAGTATAACCCTAAAACCATATAGCATTCTGTTTTATAACAAATCAAATTTATGGAAATATTTAAGAATTCTAGTTAGCAAAAATTATAAAATTTGATAGAAATAGATAACCAGAATCTATTCAACGAAGTATATACAGAGAATATACACAGATATAATCGAATTGACAGAAGCTATTATTTCTTCCGTTTTATCTGAATCTGCAAGAACCGAGTATGTTGTCTGAAGGGGCGAGGTCTGGTCTCTGCGCAAAAAAAGGTTCCGTATCGTATTTATTGATTTTCAATGCTGAAGAAACTTTCTTTATTTTGAAGGTTTATTTGTTATATTTTTTAAAACCAAGGATAAGTAAATAAAATGTAGAATCTTACTAAATGAGATTAGATATTCTTCTTCAGTTTCACTTGATTCTGCAGGAAACGAGTAGTTAGCCCGATGGGGCGAGGTCTGGTCTCTGCGCAAAAACAGGTTCCGTATCGCTTTTATTGATTTTCAATGCTGAAGAAACTTTCTTTATTTTGAAGATTTATTTGTTATATTTTTTTAAAACCAAAGATAAGTAAATAAAATGTAGAATCTTATTAAATGAGATTAGATATTCTTCTTCAGTTTAACTTGATTCTGCAAGAAACGAGTAGTTAGCCCGAGGGGCGAGGTCTGGTCTCTGCGAAGATTCCTTCTGTTTTTATTGATTTTCAATGCTGGCAAACATTTTATAATATAACCTTTGATCGGCTGGCCATCAGGAACCGATTTCAAGATCAAGATCGACTAAATATCCACGATAGTGTTCATTCATTTCAAAATTGACTGACGGACGAATAAATCTAACTGAAGATGGCGCGTTTGAGTAATTCAACAAACGGCGGGTGAAGCCTTCCTCCAAAAGTGACTCTATGCTGGTTCACCATCAGCTTTAAAATGTCCATTTTTTGTTTCATAAAAAAATCGTATTTCAGAGCTTTAAATGGCCTTTAAACGAATCCGACATTTTCCCAAAGCTGAATTTTTTAAAAATAGATTTGATAAGACCCAATATATATTTTTTTAAATTCCAGACAAGAACGCTTGGACACATGATTAATATTTTTATCTAGTACCTAGTACCTTAGTAGTAGGACCAAGAATCACCAAAAAAATTTAATTAAAATCGACAAATAAATATGGACACGTAGCCGAGCTTTCTTGCCAATGATCCATAAAAGCCGAGAATTTTTTTTTAGGTAATTTAAACAATTTTTTTGCTTCTCACATTGTACAGTTGATTGGATGACCATCAGGAATCTTTTCAAAATCAAAATTGACCAAAAATCCACGATCCAGGACAGACAAATAAATCTAACTGGGGGAGGATTTCAATGAAACTTTTTTTGGTGATACCAGGTCAACAAATATATGGATTCTTTTTTAAGGTAGCATTATGTGTTATTTTGTAAAAAAATCTGGAAATTTAATAGGCGAAATATTTTTATAATATTTGGCGAATATTTTTAGACCTAGTATCACCAAAAAAATTAAATCTATGAGCTTGATGGCAGCCTCTTCTTGTAATTAAAAGTATAAAATAGAATACAATACATTTGTAAAATACAGGAATAAAGAAATGTTACGCAGGTTTATAATTTAAGTTGACCTTGGTAGGACATAAAAAAAGGGATATCGAAGATAACCTCATGGTTACGTGCTTTCTACAACTTTTCCTTCTTCTTAACTTTTCAGACAACTATAGTTTTAAAGAGGTGCAACTCCAAGGATGACAGCAGTTGTGAGAACTTCCTTAAAATGAAATACAACGATCTTTGCAAGATGATGGAAGACAAGGACCAGGTGTACACCCCATTTGCCGAAGCGTTCCATCCGCCGATCCGATGCCCTCTGGTCAAGGTGACACTCGTTCGCCAGGACCAAATTACATTTTAATTTACAAAACCTTTACAGGGAACTCTCTACACGATAACCAACGCCACGATCGACGCCTCGGGCGGTCTCAGACTGCTGAAGCACGTTCCGAACGTCTTGAACGACTTCTGGGCTTTAAGGTTCGAAGGGAGGTCCAACAACGTAGAAGTCTGGTGTCTTGAGCTCTGGTTGAAGTTTTACGAGATAAAGAGGCGGAATGATTAAAAACCAATATATTTTAATGATTTTAAATTATTATTGCACAGAAAGCACCGGCAATTGAGCAAAAGACTCATAAATATACACTTTTAATAGAATTTTTTTCGTGATTCATGCAGTGCTTGTACATCCATTAAACAAAGTAAAACTATGAAAGTCGTTCACTTTTTATTGTAAGAAAAACTTACAAATGATTTAAACCAACCAACTCATTTGCATTTCGGGGCCAAGAATTCCATTTGATCGCTCTATTCGAATGAAACTTTATTATTCAAATAATCCAGTCTCTTGCAAAAATAATACAACTCCAATTAGTGCCAGCAATGTTCAAGAATAGTTCATTAATTAATTTAGACAATCACTATCGCTTTCAATTACACTAGTTCATCCACCTACAACATACAATTATTATTGGGCTGAAACATAGAAAAAGAAAAAAAAGCATAGAGTATAAAATTGGTTGCATAAATTGATCAGTGCAGACTTTGTAACGGTTATATCAAATTTTATCTTTTATCCCAAAAGAAATGACAGTTTGCAAAACAAATTCATGGATGTTTTGACCTGAAACTATTGACCAATCATATTCGTCAATAAAGTATATTAGCCTTTCGTCCCCAACGTGGGGTTGGTTCTTTAGGCAAATTTGGGAAGGTACACGTTTTATTGGTGCGGGTCAGAAAGGAGTTTGAGAAGTAAAAGAAAGAATAACAAAACGAAGACGGTAGAAGAAGTAGACAGTGAAAACAAAGAGCTTTGTCAAATGAAGAAATTGGGAACCTCTTGCACTTCATCTTCAGAATTCAAACATTAAATAAGATGATAAAAACTAGATTTTGAAAATGAATAAAAAGTCAATTTGGATATCAACTTTGAGGAAAAGGACAAGCAAAACTCCGCAAATATCACCATCATTATTTAAGACCGGTGCCCGAAAATCATACGACACTTCTCATCTTTGAACTCCGCAGTTAGAAGCTCTGACTTTGGACTTGGCTCACTGATGATACAGAGATGGCATTTATCGGCTTTTTACTTCTTTGTGAAGCTGCCAAGCATTCTGACTTGATCGCTGATCTTTTTTCCCAAAAATTCTATCTTTAATTTTTATGCTTTAATGATCACCAGAGTTAACCCGAACGTTTTTAAATATGTATTACAAGTCACTTTTTGACCTTCTATAATTTGAAATTTTGAGATTAGGTAAGACCCAAGTTGTGGTAAATTTTTTTGGCGCCTGCCAGTAGTCATATAGACACACCAGTGACGCAAACGTGAACGCAAGGTTAAACGCCAGGAAATATACCTCCAATCCTCATTCAACAGTTACACAATTCACACCCTGAAATATTACTAATTGGCATAGAGACAGCCAATGATCACCTGAACTGATTAAAAGTAGAAATAGTCTCTTTTGCGTTTGGATTGAAGTATTTTTAATATATCATCACCGGGGAATATAAATGTATTTAATTTCGGTCGTTATCTGAGTGGAGCTCATAATCCATCCTAACAAGGGCTCATAGACTCTTTACGCGGACAACCTTCTACAAGGTTGGGCTATGCGATCAGCTAAAATTGAAGGAGGAGTTATAGGCTTATGGCATATTAGGTATGCCAACTGTTTTTAAAACTTTAGGGATTACTGGACGACAGGAGTACCCCAATAAGGCCAATTATTCATATTACACTGACAGCTCAAAAGTTGGGAAAGAAGGAGTCGTATTCCTGTTTACGTAGTTAATCTACGGTTTTTCAGTCGGACATAATAGAAATAGAACACTGCATCAGGGAAATGAAAAGGCTTAGAAACTACTGTAAGAAGATAGCTATACTCTATGACAGTCAGTCAGCCAAAGCTTTAAACTCATGTGAGGTGAGGCCAAAGTGTATCTGAAACATATGGAATCTTTCAGTGATAGTAATGTTTGCCCTTGACTGGTTTTCCCTGCACTCAGAACAGAGGTAATAAGCAGGCTCACTTATAGTCCAAGACTGTAGCAGATATGAAAACGTCTAGCTACAAATTTGACTGTAGCCTAGCAATTTTCAACAAAAAAGAATGAAAAATCGCATAATCAATTAATTCAAATCCTGGTAGATAAACACCCAAAGGATGAGAGGCACGAAAAGATTTATAGAAGGGAAACCGCAATAAATACCAGCATTCTTGAAGGATCCTGACTAGACACATGTACCCATGAAGGCATATACCGAATAGGAGTACTTGGTGAAAAACATTTGGCAGATTTTTCGAAGAATAAGAAGAGATCAAGGAACATATTTGTTACATATTCACGTGTTGGTTTCTGCAGATAGGTGATGAGAAGCGACAACCTTAATGTCCCCGGGCACTTAGGCCAACATACTATCCAAGAATGAATCCTACTGTGGTCATACATTTGCCGTAAAAGAGAAAATGGAACAACTAATCCTTTATGAGTCCAAATCTTGGTGGATCAATATCCAACGAAGAAATTCATAGAGTGGCCGTAAGCATAACTCACCGAAGAGTTACTCGAGGGCGACCGTAATAAAACCAGGATTGTTCTTCTGACTGGACACCGTCAACAATGATGGCATTTGTACCGGGTAGGAGTACGTGCTGAAGAAACTCTTTTTTTTTGTCAAGAAAAGAAAGAGACTAAAAAACACATGCTGTGCTACTGTGAGGTTTTCTCCAGGCGTAGGTATTTGCAGATAGCCTAGCAATGTGCCAAAAAACATTGCACATTATAAAATAACTGCTTAGTGGGTCCAATGGGATGAATGGAAGAGTAAAAGAACGCAGAAGAGATTATGTGTATCGAGGTTACGGAAGTCTGCTATTAGGAAACAAGGAAAACAGCAAACAGTCTTCTACACAAATGAATGTCAGACTGTCAGGCTGTGGAATCTGATCAACAACTTGAAGGAGTCAGGTGAGATCTAACAAAAGTAAATGGGCACAATATGGATAATCATCTCTTTTGTCCATTCCCTATCGATAACATGGTTGGACTATAGTCATATGTCATCTCAATCTATAATCAACATCAGGGTGGATATCGTGCCCTTTTTTTATCATCGGTATCGGGTTTTAGATATCTTGGTACTTCACCGGGGAGTATCAAGTTAGTGGCAGATCTGCTGGTAATCCGGAAAATCTAAGACATTGACAATAATGCATTTGTAGTTAGTCTTTAACGAGAATTGCTTAAATTGACTGGTGTTAGATCAATTTTTTCGGCGTTAAAATGGAATCAGAACGAAGAGCCAATTAGTGATTGATAAATCAAATAAAGCAGCGCATACGATTTAACGCCAAATGTGGGTTATTGGCTTGTTATGAGCGCCCCTTTCCCCCGCGGTACGCTCCACTTACTGCACCTTTCACCGGAAAAATCTCGGTGCAATGTCGCAAAACCAGTATAGAATATGCGGGCCTCTCTCTCATTTTTCGATCCCCACCTTCGGCTCCGATCAAGAAGAGTTGCATAAGCCCCAGCAGCCCCACCTCCTCAGCAAGCCGTCGAGTCCGTGCCTGCAGAGAAGACAATCAGTAGTACGTCGACTCCCGTTGCAGTTATGTACCTCAGGTATTCCGCATTTTTCGCTCTCCTCACCCTCTCATCTGGTAAGTGTTATTAATTATTAATAAGTTACTATTGAAAGTAGAAAGTTGCTATGAAACAGCGATAATTGTTTAATTTGTGAGGATTAACATATACGTAAAAATTGTACTTCAGCAGTTTCGCTTGGTGCCAGACCTCTGCTAATGAAACTAACTAACCATATAAGCAAGAAAAACCTAAATGTACAGAAATAAAATAAGAAGAAATAAATTTGAGAAGTCATATTACGTTATTAGATCTAACGAGTAAATTTCTTATGTGTAAAAGTCTCATTGTCAAGGTCATATATATATAAAGTTTGAGCATAATTTGAAAGTTAAAATTGGTGGCATAAGTCATGGGTGTAGGTTAACCTTGGGAAGATTTGGATGTTAGTTAATTTGCAACCCAGGTTCAACAAAATAAGTTTCCACCCAGAGGGGCTGCATTTGATTTAAACAAGAATAATTCTAGTTTTTTTTAAATTGGTGGCTTGTAACCATTAGCTTAAAAATCATTGACAGTCATAAAAAATAACGAAATGGGTTATTAATAAAAGTTACAGCTACAAAGAAAATAGAGATCGGGAGGTAAAGGTGTTTGATATTTGCCATGTTAGCTGTTCTTGGTCCAATTCCAGGTACAGACCATGGAATTTTAGCTCGTAATAAAATGAAAAAGATACTGTAAAGAGACCCAATGACTAGTTGGGCGTTAAATTTTCCTGTATGAAAAAATTACTTAGATTTATTATTATACTTGCTACCATAAACTATGTTCAAATGGTATTCTCAACACTATGATGCCATAACCTTTATACTCACCTACGGCTAGTCTATTTCATCCCTAACCACCCTTCTTTTATCTCACTCTCCAATTTTAATTATACGATCATCACTTTTAAATAGTCCGGGATTCTTCTACGTCCGCCAAAGCCAACACTTTTCTATGCCATCTACACTGTTGACCTCTATGCTAAAATAATATTCAGTCTTAAGCATTATAAGCAAATCAGCAAATAGCAAATATTCAGGGCGATCTGAAAGTAGACGTTGGCCATCACCAATAGGATTCTTTCTTTTTGGAGGTTTCTTAAGAGCAGCACGTGAGTAAGTCAAAGAATGTTTAAAAATATGTTAAAGGATCGAAGATCTCAACATGCCTCAACAACTCATCTTTGGGTTTTTGTCTGGTTCTTATGTGCCAAGGTGAGAATGATTCGGTCATGCAAAAAGGTCATGCACGTCTTGCGGAATTAAGAAATGATTAGCTTTGTTTTGGTTATCGATGGTCAAGCTTTATACACGGAAAGTGTCGGTTGATTTGAGTCGAATATCCAATTTTGGTGATGCGAACCTCATCTCATTACCGACCTCGCTCCTTCAGATTACTTTTTTCCAGTACATCGAGTAAATGTTGAATGGTAAAATAGCCATTTTTTCTATGTGTTAGGAAACATAGATTTAATTCATGATGTAAGGACTTCAAGGGATTTAAAGTCCAATACACATTCCTACGAGTCAGTATATTATACATTTTTAATGATTATACGTTGAAAGTATTACATAATTATATCATCCTACACAATGGAATTAATTTTTACGGATCCTAGGACTTATTAATTTGATCTTTACATAATTGAACTCCATCTTGGCACACCTCAAGTCTGTTTTTATAGCCTGTCGTCCGTACTGTTGGACTAATTAAAATCCGGATTTATTTTAGTTCGGTTTAATCCAGTTGCGAATTTCCTTCGGCCAGGGTCGCCCACTGCCATTTCGTTCGGCCAATTCGATCGTTTCACCCGGAACCGGTCCTTAACGTCCTGCGGCGGCAAAGTACACCCTGGGGTTTTGTCCTACTGCCTGTGTGACAGGAGACCTTTGCTCAACAGGAGTCGAAAATAAATGCGTACAATACAACAGAAAGGAGTAGAAAATCGAACGGATTTTTAGATTTTATGCCGGTTCGCCTCGTTCCTATTATAACGAAGATCTCCAAGATTCGACATTTCAATGAAGTAATGCCAAGGTTAAGCTTCACAAACAAAACCAAACTTACCAGATTGCCGTTTAAAAGAAAATAAACTTATACAAATAAATTTTCAGTGTGAAAAAAAACAGATAGAAACAAAATTTTTATAAGAGAATTAGATAAAACAACAGATAATTCAAATCGTGTGCAGGGTGTCAATTTACTAATGTCAACCCTGGTTTACTCAAACACTACTCAATCTAGAAAGAAATTGAACAGGTTTTTTTTAAAGAATAAGCTCTACTTTCAAATATTGCAATAATTACAGGTTTTTGCATTTTTTTTTAGAAAGGTTATTAATTTTATACTTTCATTTGCAGAATCTACAAGTTGATTCGATTTTAAGAAAAATGGAAAACATCACACTGTTTCAGAAAAACGTTAGATACAGTTGTTAAATGTAAACAATGTATGTTAAATCCCAGGCCCTGAAGATGATCTCAATAAAGATCGAAACGTTGGCACGATAAAGAAAATGTTTTCCTGAAACCTATCACACCAGACCGCACCTCACGATTTCTGAACAATTAGTTAGATACAGTAAAAAAACTGTACCATTGTTTCCAGCTCAAAAATTTATTTTTATTTAGCTTTTCGATTTGGTTTGTATTCCGTAACCGAGGAGGTAGTAAAATAAGTTATAATATTTTTATACCAACAAACAAAGCCGATAGCTGTGTTTTGCACTTCAGAAAACCCCGGAATACAAACTTTCGGGAAAATAAAAATAATCAATTTTTTCACCATTTTTTCCGTAACAAATTTTTAGAAATACATAAAGGTTCACAGGCCTTAAGAACCCAATATCTTACATGTAATGGCTGCTTAAACGCACCAGAAACGAGATAAATAAAATATTTGTTGACATTGTCGATTTCATCTGTATATAATAAATAAAAAAAAGCCATTCTTGTCACAAATGAGAGCTTAAAGATTATTTGGTGATCGTGAGATGCGGTCTGGTGTGACGTAGGTTTTAGAAAAACATTTTCTTTGTTGTGCGAACGTTTCGATCTTTATTGAGATCATCTTCAGAGCTCAATAAAGATCGAAACGTTGGCACGATAAAGAAAATGTTTTTCTAAAACCTACGTCACACCAGACCGCATCTCTCGATCTACAAATAATCATTAACTAACAGTCACTAAACCATTTCTATATGAGAGATTAACTTCCCCCGTAACGGGGTGTCGCGGACTAGGGGGTCAAACGAATGTTAATTAAAATACCATAGGCTGTGTCGGGATTCGAACCCAGGACCGCTACCGTCATAAACACGAGTCGTAGGCCCAACCACTCGCCACTGCGGTCGGAAAGTCTGTAGTTTAATCACTTCTAACGACATAAAACCCAAAGCTTATTGATAAAGACTCAAAGGAGACAAATACTGCTTTTCAAGGGTTGCAGTGACGTGGACATAGGATTAAATCCATAAGAGTTAACGAAACACCAAAAATTAGAGAAAAAAGTTTGAACTATGTGAAAATGTATAGTTTTTGTTTGCTAAAAAAATCGTATTTAAGGGCTTCAAAGGATGATTATGGTAAAATCTGATTTTTTTTATAAAACAATTTTTTTGGCACACTGTACTCTTACCGTCTTTTCGTTTTTGTAATTTTTTTATGTACTTAATCTGATTAATTATTACTCTGGATTTATTAGATTTCGTGGTCCAATTGACCAAATATCATGTTTCAATTAATTAATCTTTATGTAAGGTATTGGTTGAGATAAAAAAGTCAGTGTTACGAGCGGGATTCGAACCCATGACCTTCTGCTAAATACACCGCTGCTCTACCACTTGAGCCAACTCTCCAACTCAACCTACAACAGTTCGAATTTTCCTTCTTTTTTGCCATTTCAAATGTCGTGTAATCTATTTGATTTTCGGCGACAAATGTCCACGGAGAGCTTTAGTGAAGATATACTTCATTTAATTTATTAAATTCATTAGATTTCTTGGTTCGATTGACCAAATAACATCTTTCAATTAATTAATCTTTATGTAAGGTATTGGTTGAGATTAACAAAGGTTCATTTGGGTTAGGATGGGAAGTTATTGTCCGAGTGGATCGAAGTCGCGATAGCTCAAGTGGTAGAACAGCGGCATATTTAGCCGAGGGTCGTGGGTTCGAATCCCGCTCATGACACTGACTTTTTTATCTCAACCAATACCTTGCATAAAGATTAATTAATTGAAATTATTCTGGATGCTAATTAATTAAACTTTTTATCTAAGGTCTTGGTTGAGATGAAAAGCTTGTGTCACCGAGTGGGATTCGAACCCACGACCTTCGGGTTCAACACGCCGCTGCTCTCTTTCTTGCCCTAGGACAAAATACAAATCGACTCATATAAAGTAACAATGATATGCTTGCATACAAAGGCCATATTAAAAATTAATAAATTAAATAAAATAAATATTTTTAGTCGGCTGTTAGATTGGCTAGATAGATGTCTACTTATTAATTTTTTTATAATTTATATTTATTTACCAAAGGTACATAGGTAATCTGCCAAGCATGTACATACATAATGAAAACGTTAATTTAAATGAGTTATTGGTTAGCAGAAATATTGGTTGCAAGTTGAAAAACAATAGAAAAAATATAAATGACGTATTACAAAACTAAAATTTAAGATTTAAGAAGTCAACAATGGAATGAAAAGACTGTCTCAAAAGAACGTCAGTCAACAGAGCGGAGAAAAGATTTTGAAGGCTTCTTCATGATCGAACCAGGAAGGTTTATGCAATTAACTGCCCTCATGCATATAGGATTCATTAGTTTTTTCAGTGTACATCCCCGTACAATAAGACTGTTCGCACGCGTATTGAAATCAGACAAAACGGAACGAGATGGGTTACATGCTTCGTTAGATTCAATAAATTTTAGTGAGCTTAACATATAGAGACAAAGGAGTGGTAAGGTTTTGAGTTTAGGAAATAAGAACAAGAATCCCTAGGAGAAATACCAGCTAGTATTCTTAA